ACGGTTCGGCTTTACCATTCACAACTTTTGACAGTGGAAACGCAAATAATTGCGTACCGTACCGAACTGTACCATACCGTACCGCTCAGTGGAAACGAGCCAAAAAGACACTCTTTATTTTTTCACTCTCTGTGTTGCAAGCACCAATCCGTTTTTTTTTTTTTTTTTTTTTTTTTTTTTTTTTTCTATAGACAGTACTCACAAAGGTATAACGATCAAGATTAACTTAAAAATTGCCCGGAGTTCTCCTTTTACATAATGAATGTGTTAGATTTTATTTTTTAGACTATGGAAATAAATAATTTTACCACCAGAGGCCCAACAAAAGCCAAATCATGCTTTTAGAGTAGCAAGCTGTGATGATGAAACACTTTATGAAAATGTTTGGCTTACCAGATAATATAATCAGTGGAAACATAGCTGTGAAGTAAGATATATACGTATTATACAATATACATATTATACTACAAAATGCTTTTTTATATCATTCCTCATGTGTAGGTATGGTTTGTATAGTAGATGGATACATTTAAAAGTACAATAATAATAATAAATATTCTTTAATATTATTTTATATAATAATAAAAAATATATATTTTGCCAAGCTTACCTTTTGATTTTTTTTGGTTTCTGCCCATTTTCTGGCCAGATTATGTCACCGTCTTAAAATGTATAATGGTTTGCAAAGAAGGGGCGGATCATTTCTTTGAACACTCATGACATCATGAAACTTGGATCACAAAGCTGCCCTATCAAATGTACTCCATGAGAACATCATGAGTCTACAGTAACAATGGTTAAAGAGGCTTAGTGGATGCTCCGTTCCGGTCCAAACTGGTTATATCTTATACAGTAATGAAAAGGATTTCTATTTTTATCCATGGAGTTGCCTACGTCAAACTATGTGGTTTACATGTATTCAGAACTTCTGCATCTTTGGTTGCACAAAATTGGCTTTCTTGAATATTTAAATAGACAATGATTAAATAAACGGCATACAATAGATATGACTCCATCAGTGCTAATCAATACAAGTTAACAGTTTTAAGGATGCACCAAATTTTCAGCTGTAGATACTCAAAACCAACATTTTTGAAAAGGATATAGCTGCATTGTCACGGTATGCAGATATGAACCCAAACGCAGACAGTAATAAATAAAACACGGATTTATTAAACAGACAGAAAACAAAGACCCACGAGGGGGCAAACGAACGTTGACAAGACTAGACTAATAAACTTGACAATAACATGAGACTAGAACTAACAGGCAGGATACAAACTCTGATCACAGGAATACACAGCTCACAGAACAGGATAACAAGATACAAAATGAACAAGCACCGAGTAACAAACACAATGACCTTAAATAAGGGACATCATCACAAGGGCACAGGTGACACAGATGAACAATCAAGACTAACGATGAGAACAAGGGGCGTGGTAAACAACACAAGACAACGCAAACACTTAGCCCAAACCACAGGCCATGTGTTTGCACACACAACATGAGAACAAATCCTGACATGCATATACAGTATGTGAAAACAGTACCGTAATCTCCAGATCCAAAGATTAACAAATGCACATGGGAGTCCTGAAATACATGCAACAGATACTGAACGATTTCATGTTTATAAATAAATTGGTTGAGGAAATGATTCAATAACTCATTCACAGGTAATCATATATTGTATACATATATGTTGAATGTAAAAATGCGCGTTAAAAAACTGCGCTCAACTGAGTCGAATAGATTTTTTATCTAATAAGAAAACATGCGCATAAACTATAATAGAAACACATTTACTAGGGATGCACAGAAATGAAAATTCTTGGCCGAAAACCCAAACCGAAAATGCTTTTAAAAAATTAGCTTTTTTTGTATAATTGTATTAATATTAGACTTAAGGAAATTCAGTAGTTTTAAACATACTGAATTAAAAGAAATACAATCCAATAAAATAAAGTAACCACAAATTTAATGAAAGTAATAAAATTGGACAGAAAATAGGCTTCATTCATATTAAATATCAATATATTATTAAAATTTTATGCAACAGAATCAGATTTAACAGATTTATTTTTGACCAATTATTCAAACAATGCAGAGTAATATAAAGCTAAAGCTATTATCAGAGCATGTGAGCTGAGCGTAGCAAGGAGTGGATCATTCAACAAAAGCGGACAGCACGGCTATGCCACACCATGTACTGTAGGGCAATTGCAAACAGAATCAAGTATATTTCTACATAGAAATTTCATGTTGGCACGTTGTTTGAGCGGACTTTTGCTTTTCCAATGAGTATGAGTAGGTACATGAGTGGAGCATTTGCATGGGCCTTGCACATCAAAAAAGAAATGTGACTTTGCAGTGGGACGGCATAACTGGACCAGCCAGTCGCAGATCGATGTCATTGCTCAGAATCTGAAATGCTGTTTTGGTCATTCAGAAATGCCTGAGCAAAGTGTGTTGTCAAAGTTTTTCTGTAAACTATCTCTCAGAACTGTCTTATACGGCTGTGATCCCAAACTGAGATAACATGACCATGTTTATTGTGTTTTGTCTACGCGCTCTGAGGAGTAATATATTATAGGCCTATAAGTTAAATATGCAACTTTTGATGGAAACGCAGTGTGTCTGGACAAATCCAGAAATCCAGAGTGATACAAACAATGAAGAGTTATATATTCGAGACTGTAACTCAAGAAAGTATATAATTTACAGGAGACTTATGTAAATAAGTATAATCTTGTTTATAATTTACAGACTATAGACTCTGGTTATTAATAGCCCTCCATTTGGTTGGTATCTGTGTAAATCACAAAATCATAATCCTGAGATTCCTGACTGATGATATTATTCTAACTGACAAGATTTTTTTTATTTTTTACTACTGTAAACTTTTCCTTGATCAAGCCCAGTTGACTTTAGAGGTCCATAAATAAAGAAAGAAACCTTTTTTGTGTGTGTGTGTGTGTGTGTGATTATTTATTGTAGTGTATGATTAACCTGTAAATAGTACCATAAAATATCACATTACCATGTAATCAAAAAAAATATACAAAATGTTGTGTCATATGATGAGTAAGTCACGTCAGGTGTCTGTTTTAATGTGGTTGTTCCACTGTATGTTGTTGTACTGTATCATTCCACTATACTGTATTGTGCTGACAACAAAGACAAATACAACTGTATCCTTGAGGTGGCAAAAAAATATATCATTATCATTATGGTTGATTGATGACTAATAAATTACCAAGTAAATTTGATCAGACAGATTAACAAATCATCCAACCATCTATTCCCCAAATTTATTGTTCTATGTAGGGTCACAGGGATGCTGAAGCCTATCCCAGTGTCTCGGGGCAAATTAACAAATCATTGTAACACATAATGACACAAAATGTTTGATTAGTTTGATTATATATATATATATATATATATATATATATATATATATATATATATATATATATAAAAGTTCTGATAGTATGAGTACAAGCAACCTAGTTTTGTGTTAATCAAAAAAGCCTGCAGATTAAAAACATCTTATATTTGTTTTAAAAAAAAAAATGAATACAATACAAGACAATCATGTGGCATTCAAAATATCTATTATCAATAGGACAAAGAACATGCAAAATGCAGAAACACACACCCTAAAACCATGTTCTTGTGTGCACATATTCTGTTGTTATCTCTCATGGTTTGATTTTCAGATAGTTTCTCAAATGCATTGTGAAGTTTCTGGGAAGTCCTCGTCTGATAAATTCTTCCTGGAGCTGAAACATGGGATTTTTTTTTCTGTGAGATATTTTTGAGCTAAATATATTACAAAGATATGTAAATAATAATAATAATAATAATTATTATTATAATTATTATTATTATTTCTGTCAGGACCACTATCGTCAAATACGATTTGACAGTTAGCATACAGTTTGGATTGGTGACATGGTTCTGTTCTGGGCAAGACCTCCCTGCGCATCCATGCAGCCTAGCATAGATAAGAGCAGGGAGAGCAGCAATAACCCCTCTTAGGGTAAAACACAACAGAACCAACATGAATGTATTGCAGATATCATTAATTCAAGATTTTAATGTACAACATAATTCGAGAATTTAGTCTGATTCAAAGGGTAATCAGAATGACCTGCCAGAACTGACGCTACGCTTGATTATTATTATGCTGTTGTTGTGAAGTTGTTCTAAAGTAATTTATTTTGCATGTGTTTTTTCTTTGTTTTTGTGCAACAAAAACTAAAAGCATTATGAGTGTTTTGAACTGTTTCTCACCTGTATAATCACAAGCTCTTCAATCTGAGACTCTGACAGATTTTCCACACTTGTAATTTTAACTCTCAGTCCCGTCACTGATCAGTAAAAAAAAAAAAAAAAAAAGAACACTGGTCAGTCGTGCATGAATACAAACAATACAATCCGGTAATGTTGATGTATGTTGAAAAACACTCATTTTGGACTTAAAACAGCACATATCTCCACAAACATACCATATACATCTGAATTGATGGGTCAATATGATGATCATCATGTTCACCAGAAAGCAAATAGAAGACAGAGCTAGCATTAGCATAAACGTTTGTGAATTACACAAATAACAATGGCATATTAACATCAACAATTTATTGTAATAAATTTGCTTGTTTTTTTCCCCTGATGCTTATTATTTTATTATTTTAATTCATTACAGAAGGTATATTTGCTCACCACTGTAACAGAAGAAAGGCAAACTGGCAAAGCAGCTTTCATCCGTCCACTGACCAAAGTATTTTAGAGACACAGCTGTGCAGTGTTGAGCTCCCTGCTGTCCTGGGACATTTACACCATTATCTGGTTGTGCAACCTCACCTGGAGTATATGGCAGCCAATATGTGAAGGAAGAGCTGCTCTGATCTGACCACAGTCTGTTTCTGTGCAGACCAATCCACACAATAGAATAATAACGTTTAATATTCCGTATCTGTTGACGCTCTGTCTCATCTCTCACACTGGCCAGGTCTGTGTAATTCTCTCTGCAGTATATCTGAGCTCCAGTCCAGGTCCTTCTCTTATTTACAAAAACATACTTCTGAGAGGCGTTTTCTCTACCTAAGATAAAATTTAGTGGATGTAAATAAGTCAATTTATTTGTTATTTGTCAAATTTATAGCTATATAATAAAATACATTTTGAAAACAAAAAACATTACTAATTAGCCAGTATTTTCCTTTTTCTCCCAAGAATTTGGGGTTTAAATGTGGAAGAAAAATATTGAACACTTCAGGATCTTTCAGGACTGAAAATCCCTTTTTTGACAAATCTCAAAGCAAAAGAAGATAATATACACAAACACATTTTTTTTTTTACTTGTAATGTCTTACCATTGTAGCAAACAAATGTGTAATAATTTTCACATGATGAATTAAACCAGTTTCCATTATAATCCATGTAAACACACGGTTCATTTGGTGCATTGTTGGGTTCCTGATACCAGTTCCTGAAATCTCTCTCTCCTTCCTGATAGAAATCATTGTTTTCCAATGACCATCTCCAGCTGTTCACATCATCATACTGTCCAATCCAGGCTGAGCCATTATAACTCCCATTAACTGTGTTTATCAGACTGTTCATTTCCTCCATGTTATCAATGGTGGCCAGATCAGTGTAATTCTCTCTGCAGTGTCTCTGAGCTTCAGTCCAGGTCTTAGACTCATTCACAAAGTGATACTCCCGGGATGATGCTAATGCTGGCAAGGTGGGAAAAAGGTGCATGATAAAGATTATTTGTAAGGACATTTTGGATTTGGAATCAATGAACTTTTGTAGAGTGTTTGTAGACTAAATAAGAGGATCAAAATATATATTTTACATATTTTGGTAACACTTTACAATAAAGTGGTATTACTTATGTCATGTTTGTATTAACTAACATTTTTTAACATCAATGTATTGATCTTTGTTAACAGTCACATATAAAACTATATGTAACTAACGTTAACAGATATTAATGCTAGCTCAGGTTCATTAAAAAATATTTTTTTATAATAATGTTTTTTAATAAATGTTGAAATTAACATTAACTAACAAATGCATTAGAAGGTTTTTTTTTCATTTTTTGTTCATGTTAAATAATGTAGTTAACTAATTGTACTAGTACAATTAGTACAATTACTAATGATTGTAACTAGCGTCACACATATTTTTTTTAAATATGATGAAAAAATAAATCTGGAAATGTTGAATAACATTTCTAAATAAATAAAGTCTGTCTGCCAGAGAGTGGTGTACACTTAAAAGTCAACCTTGTGCATTTCTTAACGGAGGTGCATGTAATACTCACCACTGTAGCAAATGAAAGATAATGCAGTATTGCAGTTTTCATCTGTCCAGCTCCCAGAGTCTCTAAATGACATTGCTGTGCAGTATTCACTGTTTCCAGCATTATCTGGCTGTCCTGTCCTCCAGTTACTGAATGAAGAGTTGCTCTGATCTGACCAAGATCTGGTTCTGTACAATCCAATCCAAAAATCGGAATAATTCTGTAATAATGACTGAAGTTTGAGGTTTTCAGTCTCATTCCTGATACTGACGAGGTCTGTGTGATGTTCTCTGCAGTAACTCTGAGCTTCAGTCCAGGTTTTGGACTGGTAAACAAACACGTAACTTGTACTAGCATTCACTCTTCCTGCGGGGAAAATATGTGTATGTGATATATCCATGGTATCATAAATATATTGTTCTAAAAACTTTAAAAAGTCAACAGGAGTTCTCACCATCAAAGCAAACAAATGGAAGTGTATAGTAACAAGAGATTTCACGCCATGTTCCCCGATAATATGACATGTCCACACACAGACTCTGTCCACCTGGGTTCATTGGTTGCTGGACATACCAGCTTTTAAAACCTCCTTCTAAACTTGCATTGTCCATAGACCATTTCCAGCTGTTCAGATCATCATAGAGACCAATCCAAGCTTTGCCATAGTAAGGCCTACGTACTGTTTTAATGAGCCTGTTCATTTCCTCCATGTTATCAATGGTGGCCAGATCAGTGTATTTCTCTCTGCAGTGTCTCTGAGCTTCAGTCCAGGTCTTTGAATCATTTACAAAGTGATACTGGCGGGTGCATGAAGATTGTGTACAGGTTCCTGTAAGTTTAAAATAAACAGAGAAATACATTTGATTATTCTTTGCAATCACCAATATCATGAAACTATTAAAATGGTTTTATTGTGGAGGTTTTTCAAATGTAATTTAAATTAAAGCTGCAAGCAGTATTTATCGGGGTTCAAGCGGTTTAAGGCCTTTAAGCACATGCGTAAAAAGATATTATGTTTTATTTAGCAAGCATGTAAACACTTTGAAAACATGGGGAACCAAAAGTAATTTATAAAAGATCTTATAAGAGATTCAGTCAAGAATGTAAATAATGTATGTTGGATTGATGTTTATAAGGAAGTTCATCCTGATAATGCATTGTCAGCATTTGAAAGATTATTTTACCCTTTGGTGGACAAACATCCACCTATGAAAAAAATTACAGTGAAGAATGTTATGGATTGTTAATGAGTTGAAAAACATTATGTTTGAGAGAGATGGCAAAGGGAACAGCAAACAGAACTGGGAACAAGGAGGATTGGGACGTCTATTGCAAATTAAGAAATCAAGTAACTAAAATGAATAGGAAAAATTAAATATTGTTTTACAAAATTAAAATAAGTGAATGTAAATATGATTGTAAAAAAATGTGGAGTACACTCAATGAAATAATGGATAGGAAATCAAGTCAAATTCCTTCTTTTACTCATTTTTAACCATTTTTAAACCATATGAAATTGGAACTTATTTTAATGATTTTTTCACAAATAAAGTTGATAAATTAAGAGAAGAAATGTTGTTTGGCAGAACCAGTTTGCCACATCTTTAATATCAGCAGTATTGAAAAAGGGATTTTTCCTTTAGCTTGGAAAGATGCAAAGGTTATTCATCTACAGAAAGCACTGGGTTTCAATGGTCATAATAGTCGACCAATAAGTTTGCTACCATTTCTTAGCAAAGTTTTGAAAACGATAGTTTGTGAGCAAATTCAATTATTATTTAAGGAGAAAATTTTGCCTTCTAATTTTCAGCATTTATATTGAGAGAGCACAGATTGATGACAATAACTTAGTAGGAGCAGTATTGTTAGATTTGAGCACAGCTTTTGATGTAGTGGATCATAAATTATTGCTGGATAAACTGAAATGTTACAAATTTACTTCTCACACTGTGCATTGGTTTAAAAGTTAACTGTCTAATGGGACAATGTGTATTTTATAATGGAAGTTAATCAGATGTGAAAGAGTTGCAATGTGGTGTGCCTCAGGGAAGTTGAGTCTTGTTTTAAAGTGTGCATGGACAGTCATGTATGCAGATGATAAAATATTATATTTACCTGCAACATCAATTAAAGCTGCCGTCGGCAACATATTTTTGATCATATTCAGTGAAATCGACACTATAATCCGACAGAACAACATAAATAAAGTGGTTTTAGAAAAAAACCCGAGCTTCTTTATTTATTTATAATTTGTCTTTCAAAACAGGTGTATTCCCAAGCAAAATGAAAATTGCAAAAATCATTCCACTATATAAATCTGGAGAGAGAAATCAATTCACGAATTATAGGCCATTGTCTTTACTCTCTCAGTTCTCTAAAATATTAGAAAAATTTTATGTAATTAGATTGGATAATTTTATTGAGAAGCATGAATTATTGGTTGATAGTCAGTATGGATTTAGGACAAACAGATCTACATCAATGGCACTAATGGAGTTAATTGAAGACATTACCAGTGCTATAGATAACAAACAATATGCAGTGGGAGTATTTATTGATTTAAAAAAAGCTTTCGATACAATCGATCATCGTTTGTTAATCAATAAACTGGAAAAGTATGGTATCAGAGGAGTTGCATTAGATTGGATGAAAAGTTACATAAGTAACAGACTACAATTTGTGCAAATCGGTGAGTACAGATCGGAGTGCTTGGGTATCACCTGTGGAGTACCACAGGGGTCAATATTGGGTCCAAAATTATTTATTATGTACATAAATGACATATGTAGGGTGACTGACCTCTTAAAATTTGTGATTTTTGCGGATGATACCAATATTTTTTTGTTCAGGGGAAAATCTGAAGCAGCTTTTGGAGGAGGTCACATCAGAAATTAATAAGTTAAAAATATGGTTTGACTTAAAAAATTATCGTTAAATTTAGATAAAACCAAATTTATGTTGTTTGGTAATCGTAAAACCGACACACAAGTAAAAGTTATGATTAATAATGTTAAAATAGAAAGAGTGTATGAAAATACATTTTTGGATGTGATTCTTGACCATAAAATTTGTTGGAAACCCCATATCAAATATGTTAGAACAAAAGTAGCGCAGAGTATGTGTCACGAAGAGGCTGAGGCGGTCGGATCCATTCGCAGATATTTATTAAAGGAGATGACAAACTGAGAACAAGCAGACAAAAACTAAAAAGATGTCAAGGGCAATCCAGAATCGTAGTCAAACACGCAATGGTCAGAGGCAGGCAGCAAAGGTTCACAAAACTATAACAGAGTCCAAGTTCAAACACAAAAGATCAAGTCCAAGCACGGAGAAACAAGAGGTACAAACTAAGACAGAGTTTGGGTAAAACAATACTTCACAAATGGGCACAGAACAGAACAGTCCAGATAAAGGGTAGCTGAGGGTGCACAGGTGAAACTGATGAAACCATAATCAAACATAATGAGTCCGTGGTGGAACATAACGCAGGAAGAGAGTGCCCTCCAGTGGCTAATGCGGGCACTCCAGCCGCTGATTGTCACATAACCCCCCCTCTAAGGAGCGGCTTCCAGACGCTCCTAAGAGCTCCGGGGGGAGGTCAACGGGGGATGGGATGGAGGGCCAGGTCCGTGGAGAGGCAGGGGACCTGGAGACAGGAGCAAGACCCGGGACCACGGAGAAGCAAGCTCCGCAGGCAGCCAAGGCGGGGCATGCTTGGCAGGGAACCAAGCCGGAGCATAACAGACAGGAGAACAGGGCGGAGCACACTGAACACGGGAACGGGATAGAACACACTTAACTGGGCTAGCCGGGACCAGTAATCCAGGAAGCTCAGACGTAGGCAGTAGAGCAAAGGTCCATGTAGATGCCGCCCCCATGGCCCTCTCAGGGTACCTACTAGCAAAGGTCCATGTAGATGCAGCCCCCATGGCCCTCACAGGGTACCTCCTGCCCCCCCCCAAAAAATACTTGGGAAAATCCACGGGAGGAAGGTGCTTGAAGGGCGCCGGCAGGGCGAGGCGCAGAGGCGGGGCCGGCAGGGCGAGGTGCAGAGGCGGGGCCGGCAGGGCGAGGCACAGAGGCGGGGCCGGCAGGGCGAGGCGCAGAGGCGGGGCCGGCAGGGCGAGGCGCAGAGGCGGGGCGAGGAGTCCGGGAACGCCCTCCGGAGCCCGGCGAGCCAAACGAGTCCTCCCTCTCTTCCTTCTGCGACGGCGCTTCACTGGGCTAGATTCACTACTGGAAGTACTTGACTCAGTAGACTCACTTGACACAGTAGACTCAGTAGACCCACTTGACACAGTAGACTCAGTAGACCCACTTGACACAGTAGACTCGGTAGACTCACTTGACACAGTAGACTCGGTAGACTCACTTGACACAGTAAACTCGGTAGACTCACTTGACACAGTAGACTCGGTAGACTCACTT